TTATTTGTGAGACCATTCTTGGTCCTGTAGTTTCTCACAGTTTGGGTTGTGCTGTGTCCCCATAATGTTGGTGACAAAGAGCCTCTGTCCCTAGAGGTTTGATCAGATTCAAGAGGGTCTTGGCAAGCTTCTTCCTAAGTGCTATTGTATTCTCTGGTCTGGAGGCTGGTTGTAGCCATTGATGATCAGTGCCTAGATTAGGGGTTGCAAATTGCCAAATCTCAAATTCTAGCAGTTCTTCCTCATTGTTTAGCTGGAATACTCCTCCATAAAGAGAAATCTCATCTCAGTGGTGCAATTTACATAGGAAGGACAGGGTAGGTTCTTAATTCTTTGACTTTGTTTTCCAGTTGCAGAATAACAACTTGGCTCCCAAAGGTGACTGATGAGTTTTTTCACATCACTGTCAACTGTCATGCATTTAAACACAACAGAGATGTTTAATCTGTTGAACTTTGTAGATGTGAAATTATTCATCTCATTAGCAGTTTGTAGACTTGAAAATTTTGTTGTGACAAGATATTTAGTATGTTGTAAATGATGAAGGCCACAGAAGAAAGTCCGTACACCAAGATATATGATCTAATAATGCAGGTATATTACGTATGTTAAATCTCAAACAGTCTCAGTTCAGAGCACCCCTAACATTCAGTGTCTTAAGGGACCCTTAGACCAAAAGAAATACATAGCAGTTTCATTTATAAGTCCAAACTGCTTAGTATTTATGTCCTAGCACCTTACAGTAGACATTTGGAAAAGTAATACATATAAAGAAAAGTATTTTTCATTTCATTTTTAAGAAACCACAGTTACTTACCAATAAAGTGTGTGTGCCTGTCGGGTTTTTCTTAAATCTGTTACACACTGATTCCACACAGTATTTGCTTTTTAATAACGTCCAGAAACCTAGCTTTGCAGAGCCATGAAACCACAGAAAGGGATGTAGCAAGATATGTTGAAACCATGATGTGTCCAAAAATGTTGAGAATCACTCTTCCCCTCAAAAATAAAAAGTTCTCTATGGTGTCAGAGTTCATTGTTGGGCCAAGGGCACCTCAGCACACTACTGGGAACCAAAGCTCCGTCCCTTTCCCTCTGCATCTGTGGATATCTCCCTCCCCTGGACCATAGTGGTATGCAGCTTGTCACCCCTGGCCCCCACAGCTCTTGGGAACGGGTCACAGGGCCTCTAGCACTCTATCACGTAAAGCCTGACAGCCTGCACGTATCAGATTTCCTTTGAAGCCATTCATTCCCAGCTTCAGTGCTTAGAGAATTTTTTCCTTATCCTTTGATGTTAGCTGCAGAGCTGAAGACTGACTCCAACTTCACTGTGATGTGCTGTTTCCCCTACCTGTATCTGGAGCATGTTTAACCAAAGAACCTGGCAGACTCTCAGGCATAATGTAAAAATAGCTCACCCTGATCAGAGAAAGTGGTCCTCTGTCAGTGCCCATTTTCCTGCTGATGGGACTTTGAAAAATACCAGAAGCCCCTTTCCTGCCCTGGTACCCCTTCTGTATCTCCAGTATGGGACCCAGTACAGGAGTCCCTGACTCCTGTAATTGGTGTTGGGCTTGTCCCTGTTGCTAGCTAAGACCGAGAGAATGTGGGGAGAAATGGCAATGTGCAAATTCCAAGCTGAAGCATCACGTATTTGTTTACCCCTATGGAAGTTTTTACCTTCCACGTTAGATGAGCAGGCCCTGGGTAGCTGCAGCCCCTTCAGCCTGGCCCCAGAAGAGCCCTCCCAGCTGATCTGTGGGCCTGTGGGCAAGAAAAAAAATGCACATTGTTGTACACATTGAATTTTGGGGTTGCTTGTTACACAGCAACAGCTGACTGATAAAAAAAGAGGTCCATAAGGGAAAGGTAAAAGAGAGACAGAAAGACACCATCTGATTGGGTCTTAGGAATAGATGGGTTTTTAAGGAGATATAAAATGATTCTTCTATGGAATAATGTTATGATTTTTAAGATAAACCTAAGAGGAAAGCAGTTTTATCCCCTTTTTATAGGTGAAGACATTGAGGCTCAAAGTGGTTGATGGTGCAGTGAATGAGCCTGCTCTGGGCTCCAAAATCCGTGACTTCTGGGCCAGACTCTTCTTCGGGCTGTGCTGCCTCTCATGCAGGCCCAGCTCTGAGGACAGCCAACATGGCAACAGAGCTTGGCACTTTGTCCAGTGGGGCCAGGGCTGGGGACCTTCTGGAGTGTTGGGGAGAAGGCAGGGACCATGGCTGGGAGCCCCCCAGAGAAAAAGGGCAGCGTTTGGTTCACAAGTCAGGGATGCCAACAGACAGGTGCCTGTGTCTCATATGCTAAGAACTGAAGAGGCCAGGTACCTACACTGTGAGCGATGACTGTACCACCTGTGGTCATTGCTCTGTGTCTGGCCAAACACTGGACCGGGGACCCTGCTCTAGGGTCACTCACATGCACCCTTCAAAACGTCTGGCAAGTGTGTCCGGGAAGGAAACTCCTGTAAGAGAGGGATCTAGACCAGTGGTCTTGCTTGGTGGTTGGCATCTGGATTTTAACACACTTAAAGCTATCCTCAGGGATTGAAAATAGAACCAGAAATCAAACCTTTGCAAAAGGCTACAATGGGGCTTCTGGAAGCTTCAGGACCAGGCCACCTGATTCCGTCTTACAGAGACCTTATCAAAGGACACGAGTTGATTAGCATTCATGCTGACAGCCAGAACTATCCATCAGCATGTTTTCATTACTTCAGGGGGTTCTGGTCTTGTGAAGTTGATTTACCTAATAAACTGTTTATAATCCCCCCAGCTTCCTCCTGCTTCACAACCAGCTGGCTTGATCTGCAGCACTTTTGCCTTAGACCTTGGTCCCTACTGACTCCTCCCCACAGTCCTGCACCGCCTTCACACAGCGAGACCCTTCCATCCCAGGGAGCAACCCGGCCCACCCCACATGGGATGGAGCCCCTTGGGTGGGGGGTGGGTCGCATAATGGTGCACCAGAAGGTATCCATGTCCTAATTCCTGGAACCTGGGAACCTGAAACCTGGAATCTGAATCTTAACATGGTCAAAAATGACTTGGCAGATGTGATTAAGGATCTTGAGATGGGGAGATGGTCCTGAATTATCCAGGAGGACCTTAAATTCGATCATCTGTCTCTACAAGGGAGCCAGGAGGAGGACGGGCACACAGAGAAGACAGTGTGAAGACGGAGGCCGGGACTGGGGCGATGTGGCCAACAAGCAAGAACATGAGCAACTGCCAGAAGCTCAAGAGGCAGGAAAGACCCCACAGAGCCTCTGGAGGGAGTACAGCCCTCCAACACCTTGATTCCAGCGCAGCGCAATGGACTTTGGACTCTGCTCTGTAAACTTTTTGAGAATAAGTTTATTTTTTTCAAAGTTTTTATTTATTTTTAGAGAAAGGGGAAAGGTGGGAGAAAGGGAAAGAACATCGATCAGTTGCCTTTCACACACCCTGAGCTGGGGACCTCGCCTGTGACCCAGGCATATGCCCAGACTGGGAATCAAACCTGCGACTTTTTGGTTTGTGGGACAGTGCCCAACACAGTGAGCCCACCAATTGGGTCTCTATTGTTTTAAGCCACCAAGTTTGTGGTGATGTATTGCAGCAGACACAAGAAATGAACACAAATAGGAAAACCAAAGATTCCATAAAGAAATGATTGGACCCAAGGCCTGTCATGGGCCCTAGGTTGCTGCCCATGTCCTTGTGACTCAGGTCACCTATGCCTGGAATGCACAGGCTCTCTTCCTGCCTAAAGAAGGCCCTTTACTGCCTTGCTGGCAACTGAGGTGGGCCCTGCAGTCCCCACCCATTCCTGGCGCCCAAGCCCTGGCAGCTCCCGATGCTACCTCACATGTGTGTACCCCACAGAGCCCCAGCTTCTAGCCAGGTTGCCTGCAGCCCTCACAGCTGAGGGAATGAAGAAACAAGGGTTGGTACTGGTAAGAGACCTGATGTGCTCCTGGGCCACAGAGCAGCCACCATGGGCTCCATTGGCAACATGCAGCGTGGGCTGTCTGGCCTTGACCACTGGCTCCAAGGTCATCTCAAGTCCTACAAACAGGTGCAGCCAGGACCCCGCCCTCCAGGGCACACCTGCTTCCCATCCCTGGGAGGGCAGCATGTGTGGACACATGAGCCTTTGGACTTTATTAGACTTTTTAAAACTAAGTGCAAATATCACCAGGTGCTTTTTATAGCTTCAAGAAACTAGGCCTGTTAAACACATGCCAATAATTTACCTGAGTGGGAAAGCCACACAGGCAGTGCCACTGTTCTGCGTCCTTCACGTGATCCCCCTGGAAAGGTCACAGCTGCCTAAGCCTTTAAAACCTCAGGCAGAATGAGCATTCCCTGTGTGGGGATTCAGAGCTGTAGCAGTTCTGCATGGGCCACTCAGCTCTGTGTCTTAATAGACTTACCTTTGTAAATTATTTTTCTTAAAGCAACAAAAGGAGAAAATTGGTATCAAAGAATATCAACTCCTGATTCTAGAGAGAATTCCCATCATCTTTGGTGGAAGTCACGTTTCAGGTGAGTGTCTAGTGCCCAAGTCTGTGTGACTGGCCAGTTGGAGGGTGGGCACCTGGAGGCCTAGCAGGGTCCCTCTGTGACTGTAGCCAAGCTGGGGAGAGCCCTGGCCAGTCCTGGCCAGGTGGGTGCCTGGAGCAGGGATAGCAGCGAGCCAGTGTCTGTCTCACCACTAGCCCACCACTGGAGCACCTCTTCAGGTTGGTGACCCTTACACGAGTCTGTCTTCTAGTGGGTGGAGGGGTGGGAAGACCACGGGATCCTTTCCTTGGTGCTGGTGTCTGGCTCTCTGGACGCTGCCTAGAGGGCTGAGGCTCACCCTGGCTCCTCCCCACTGCCGATGAAGACAGTTACTCAGCCTTGGGCTCCGCTAGCTCCACGTGGATGGACTCAGGGAAGACGGGGCACTGTCTCCGCTAACCTAGATCCATGTGCAAATGTCCCTCCTCCTCTAGAATGAAGGGTGCCAGGCCGATCGGGGTGCTGCTCACCCTGGCTGGTATGCTGCACGTGGCCCTGTGCCTGAGAATAGCAGCTTTCAACATCCAGTCCTTTGGGGAGACTAAGATGTCCAATGCCACCCTCTCCAACTACATCGTGCAGGTAGGTCTAGCCAGCCTGTCCCCAAGGAACCCAGGGTGAGGTTGGTGGAGGGAAGGTGCCCTCAAAGGCCCGGTGAACACTGGGCCAGTGGTCTGTCCTGAAGGTGATTCCAGACTCTCAGGTCTCTGCTCTCAGCCTCCAGTCAGTTGTGGAGACAGGGCCCTTGTCATTACTGCGGTTGACATCAGGCTGTAGACCAAATAGCTGTGAAAAGCACCCTGGGGAATAGCAGCTTGGCTCCTGCAGGGACTTGCGTGGGCAGGGCCCAGACACCAGTCTCCACCCAGCCCATCCCTGCTTAGCACTGGTGTGGCCCTGTCCCAGATCCTGAGCCGCTATGACATCGTCCTGGTCCAGGAGGTCAGAGACAACCACCTGACAGCTGTGGGGAAACTGCTGGACAGACTTAATCAGTGAGTGGTGAGAGGGTCCTGGGGAAGCACACGGGGACAGTGACCAGCCCTTCAGGGCATGGTGTCACTTTGGGTAGGTCCCAAGGACACCATGCGGGCAGGAGCCCTGCTGTAGGCAGCAGGGTGTCTCCTGCAGGTTCCTTGACTGGTACATGCGTTTCCTCAATCTAGAGAGAACCCCAACGCCTATCACTACATAGCCAGCGAGCCACTGGGTCGCAATAGCTATAAGGAGCGCTACCTCTTCTTGTTCAGGTAAAGCATGGGCACTGGGACATGAAGCTGCCTTCTCTGAGATTTTCGACAGAAGGGGTGTGTGGGGGGCCGGGGGGGGGGGTTATTCTGGAAAGCCCATGAGCCTCTTCCTCCTGGGGTGGGGGAAAAGAACTGGAGGCCACAGAGCAGGGTCCAAGTTGGGCTGCCCACCCTCCCACGTGCTTGCTATGTCCCAAATCCTCACCACCTGGGCAGAGACAAAAGCACATGGATGGCCCGGAGCTCCAGGCTGGTGAGTCTGATACCCAAGCTTAGACTGGGCCCCTTGACCACAGCAACAGGTCGGTTTAGCGAGATGAGGCAGCGATCCCAGCCCCAGGTTAAGCACCCTCTGCCCGGCCTTCCACAGACCTGACCAGGTGACGGTGCTGGACTCGTACCAGTATGATGATGGCTGTGAGCCCTGTGGGAACGACACCTTCAGCCGAGAGCCAGCAGTTGTGAAGTTCTCCTCCCCATTCACCCGTGAGTGCGGCTGCCACAGAGGCTCCTCTGCTCTGCCTGGCTGAGGGGGCCCTACCTGACTGTTCCTAGAACACCCTGAAGACCCACATCACAGTACACCCCTGCCATGCACCCCTTGGGGAGCTTGCTGCCCCCTCCACCCCTAGTGTTTCGGTCTTATGTTGAAATTACTTGGAGAAATGTCCACCCCCTCCTCCCACCAAACTGTCTCATGTGTCCTCCATCCCAGTCCTAAACACATGACTGAACCAGGCTAATGCACCCGTGGACCAGGACTGCCCCCCAACTCCACCCCCTACCTCCTTGCTTAGCACAGCCACCTTCTCCTTAGAGGTCAAGGAGTTTGCCATCATCCCCCTACATGCGGCCCCACTGGATGCAGTGGCTGAGATCAACTCTCTCTACGACGTCTACCTGGATGTCCGCCAAAAGTGGGACATGGAGGTGAGACCACACACATTGGATTGAGCTCCTAAGGGTCCTGTTCTGTCCCTGGACCAATCCGCTGGTGTCTCCTGGTAGGATGTCATGTTGATGGGTGATTTCAATGCTGGCTGCAGCTATGTGACCCACGCACACTGGGCATCCATCCGCCTGCGCACAATCCCTGCCTTCCAGTGGCTGATTCCTGACACTGCTGACACCACGGTTACGTCCACGCACTGTGCCTACGACCGGTGAGCAGGGTCTGCATGCCCCATGGGTTCTGCAGGCCTCGGGTGGGGATGGGGACACCTCCAGAAGCAGCTGTGACTTCTATCTAGGCCCAGCTTCAGAAATAGTTCCTAAGACCTTTAAGGAGAGACACTCACCCCTCCTGAGCTTTAGACCACTTACAAAGTGGAATAAAACGCATTCCTTATTTTAGGAAAAGCACACGTAGGGTTATCATGATGCCAGTTTCCTCCTCTGAGCAGTCTCGGGTGTACAGGTCAGACAGTGGTGCCCAGTTTGGCACACCCGGATCTGAGTCTGGTCAGGTACAAGGCTCGTTCGGGCCCAGGGCGGGGGTGGGTGGGAAGCAGGGGGCCCTCCCTGAGCAGTGGCACCCCAAGGGCTATGCAGGCCAGGTGGGAGCTGGCCCCCGCAGGTTCCTCGTCTGGAGCTGTGACGGTGACAGCCAGGTTCTTGGACTGGGTGAGGTGCTCAGGTCCCTCAGCTCAGCTTCTTTGGGGAAGGCTTGTTAGGGTGAGCCGGTGGGACATGCTGGGATCTGAGGTTTAAGTGTGCGGAGCCAGACAGTGGGCTGAAGGGGGACTTTCTTGTGTCTGGTGCTGCAGGATTGTGGTCGCTGGAACTCTGCTCCAAAATGCCATTGTTCCCTACTCAGCTGCTCCTTTTGACTTCCAAGCTGCATATGGACTAAGCAACCAAACTGTATGTGACCACCCTTTTCAGAATATAGCTCTAATGGGGGCCCAGGATGCAGGGGTGGAGTGACATCCAGGTCCTCGGGACTTAGAGCGAGTGTTTTTGTTGACTTCAAAGAACCACTTGTCCACAGCCCCGGGAGCCTCTTTCCAGGCAGACATGACAGAGTGCAGTGTCTAGGGGCACAGGCGTCCCTGTGTTCACTGCATGTTTCTCTACAGGCCCAAGCCATCAGCGACCACTACCCGGTAGAGGTGACGCTGAAGAGAGCCTGACGAAAGCAGGTCCCGGGGCCCTAGCTGGAGACCTCTAGCTCCTGTAGCTTGCCTGTGGCTGCTCCGGGGGTCCTGCACAAAGAACTGAAGACGACAGCTGATCCTGTTGTCGTATTCGGACAGAGTTTAGGAAACCAGTGCAACTTCACCGAACACAAGGCCAGTGCCCCCTCTCCCCCGTCCCCTCTGTCCCCCTGACCACTCACCAGCTTGAAGAAGGGGACAGAAAGTAGGCTTTTTCTCACTGCACCTGCTTCCATCATAAGCATGGGGTTGTGTCAATAGAAACTTACTGTCAGTACGCACATAAAGTCTAAGATTTAGATTAAGAAACACTTTTTAATTTAAGTAAATAGAGCTGCAAAGGGTGTGTTCTCATTGGTGGCGTCCAGTCCTTCCTTCCCACTCGTCTTCCCATAGCAGAGGCACCCAGTTCCACCGTTACCTCCCCTGGAGCTTTAACAGTACAGGGAAGATGCGGGGCTCTCGCGGCTGCTGTGCTGCACCCCCGCACCGCAGGGTCCAGCCTTCGCCCTCAGTGTCGCTCCAGAGCCTTGACGAGCAGGGTGTTCAGGCGGCCCACCATGGACCTGGGGTCATCGACGAGCCCTGCTGTGATCATGGCGTTCTCATAGATCTGAAAAGCAGGGTGGTGACCTTGTTAGTGGGAGGGGGCTCTTTCCTGGTTCCAACTCAGGGACATTTTAATGCAGAGAGAAAAAAGGAAGACAGCTGTTCCTTCTTAAAACGATTTTACTGGAAACTGAACTATCCAACTCGAAGGAAGATGCAGGCTTGCAGAACTAGCAGCCCTCTGTCCTCGGGCTCTAGGCCATTCTCCAGGGACTCACCTGATCGACGAGCAGCTGGGCCAGGTCAGGCTCGCTCTCCCTCAGCTGGCTGAGCTTCTTGATCAGTGTGTGCCTGCAAGAGAAGCCCCCAGAAATAACCTTAGGGCTGGGCACCCCAACACAAGGGCCTCTAACTTCTGAGCTGACGCAGTTACCAGAACATTCAAAACTGTAATAGGAAAGTCCAGTATAAAAAATAAGGCACATAAAAATTAGAAAGATGTAAATGATCATTGACAGGTAATACGATTGATTATATACCCAAAGGAACACCCAAGAGTTTTGATATTAGAAAATGCAGATAAGTACCAAAATTATATAAAGTAAACACTGAAGGGAAAGAAGATAGTATTTAAAAAGGCATATGTTGGTGTTTAAATAAAGAGACCGTAATTAAAGGTAAAACTTTCCTTAAATTAACCCATACACTTAATGCTGCTTTTATACTAAAAATTTAATTTTATTCCTAAACGATCTAATGTAAAATTCATAAATAAAATAAATATGGAAGAAAAGAGCCAGGAGAAGCTGGGGGAGAAGTCCCAGGTATTAAAACATATTATAAAGCTACAGTAATAAAACAGTTTAGTTCTAGAAAACGAAAAAGCAATGGTTAAGTTCAAAAAAGTCAACAATGTACAAAGAGCTATGTACAACATATGGGAATTGAATTTGTACCTGATTAAAGACAGCATTTCACAAGAGTGGAAAATATAGGATAAAAGGCCAGCCAACTAGAAAATAATCAATTTGAATCCCCACCCCATTCTTTTGACCAAAACAAATTTCAGAAGGATCAAGTGTTAAATATAAAAATTTAGAAGAACACAGGGCAGAAATATTTTATAATCACAGAAGAAATAGCCTTTCCAAGCAAAATATTGGGTGGGCCAAAAAGTTTGTTGTTGTTTTTTTCCCTTAAGACACATTTTCAATTTTTACCAATTGATTTGGATATTCTGAGTATGTCAGCTATTTTCCACGTGGTATAATGTTGACTGTTCTCAGTTAATGTCTTAATTTAATCACTATCAACTTCAGCTGGTCTACCTGACCATGGAGCATCATCCAGTGGGAAATCTCCAGCACGGAACTTTGCAAACCACTTTTGACACATTCAATCAGTCACAGCACCTTCTCCACACACTGCACAGATCTTTTTTTGCATGTCAGCTGCCTTTCTACCTTTCTTGAAATAATAAAGCATAATATGCTGAAAATGTTGCGTATTTTTTCCATCTTCAGTTCTAAAGTGGCTACACACAAAGTCACCAGTTTGATAAAGTTTTTTTTCAACGCATGTTTAATATGACAGCTATCACAACAGAATCTCGCAAAACTGTTTTAAATGGAGTTAAAGACAACTAAGAGCTACTAGAGCCATCTTACAGAAAAAAACCTATGAACATTCTGGCCAACCCAATACAAATCCAGAAATCAAAAAGAAAACAACATAACTTGGACAGCATAAAAATTCAAAAGTTTTTCTGCACAGGAAAAAATTCCATAAATACGATATCTGACCTTACTCATAAGAAACGTACATCAAATCATAATTTTTCACTTAGGAGAATGGCAAAAATTGAGAAGTTTGATAAAACCAAAGACATTGAGGGAAACATATATTTGCCTAACTGCTAAAGACAGTTGGAGTCTATAAAAATTTAATATGGATGGTGCTCTGAGACTTAGCAATTCCCTTCCCTCACAACACCGTTTATAATCAAAAACACTTTTTAAAAAGCAAGCTGAGGACCCCTCTACAGCAAGTTACCGCTTGTGTAACAGAGGAAGCCACAGACAAGTCTGGTTACACATGTACAACAGCATCTCTGGAAAGATAAACATGAAACCTAACATGGTTGGGGACAAAGGTAGGAGGGAAATTTTACTATAAACTTTGATTCTTTTGAATTCTCAGCCATGTGAACATATTACCAATGCTAAAGGCAAATAGCATTTAAAAAACAAAGCCTGCCCTGGCTGGTGTGGTTCAGCTGGTTGGGCATCGTCCTGTGCTCCAAAACATTGAGAGTTTGATTTCCGGTCAGGGCGCATGCCTAGGTTGTGGGTTTGATCCCCATTTGGGGCACGTACGGAAGCACCCAATTGATGCTTCTTTCTCTCTCCTGGACCAGAAAATCAATAAACATTTAAAAAAATAAAAATAAAGCCTTTTGGCAATAGAAACAAGCACTCCCACACAATTCTTAGGAAACTACTTTTAAAGCAAGGGGGTGTCCAGTTGGCATCAGCATCTCTGTCAGGGACTTAGCTGGAAGCCACCTTCTTTCCCAGAGAGGGAAGCACACATATCATACAGACAGATACAGCTCTTATGGCACAGTGTCTGACACTGCATGACTAGCCACAAGCCAATTTAGCATCTTTCATCCAGTAATTACTTGGCTCAGAATGTGTAAAAGGTGCTTCCCTCTCCTCCCCAGTAGTTTATAAAAAAGAAAATGTACGATTATAAGGCAACGTGGAAAAATATGAAGAAGTGATCAATGAAAAAATTAAACATGTACTATATATTAAAAAAATTCACAAAATATGCGAGATCGAAGTCCAAAAGAATATATACCAAATCAGCTACAGTGACTTGTGAGGGTAAGACTATGGATTTTGTTTAAGTTTATGTAACATTTTTGGTAAAGTGTTTATGTAATTTCATTAAAAAAAAATACTGCTGCACACAAGATCAGTTTCAAAAGAAAAACTTGTCTTCAACTGTTAGAAAATTTTAAAATATCCAATAAATACACATCAAACACATTAGACCAAAGAATAACTATAAAAAAAGTATCAGAACTCTACAGAAAAAGTAAGTTAACAAAAGACATTAAATAAGAGCTAGTAAACAGATATTATGTACATGGTTGGGAAGAACCGATACTGTAAATAGTACTAACAGAAAAAATTAATATCATAAATATACTAACTGTTGAAATTAGTTTATATACAAGTGAGGACCTAAAGAAGCCAAGACATATTTGAAGGAAAATAGGGGGAACAATCGCTTACTGAATGCAAAGGCCTGGGGGAAAGCCGAGTGTTTCAGACAATGCAGTACCCGCAATACACAGACTAGAAACACCTGTATAGACACTTGATACTCTCTGGTGGAGAAGGCAATTTGGATCGCTGGGGAGGGGACAGAATAAATTCATGATTCTGGTGATAGATTTTTTTTTTAAATCCTCACCTGAGGGCATGCTTACTGATTTTAGAGGGATGGAAAGGGAAGAGGAGAGAGGGAGGGAAACATCGATGTGAGAGGGAAACCTAATTCAGTTGTCTCTCAGGTGCCCTAACCAAGGATTTAACCCACAACCCAGTTATGTGCCCTTGACTGGGAACCAAACCCACAACATTTCAGTTTACTGAACAATCCAAACAAGCAACATTGGCCAGGGCAATGATAGATTTCTTTCTTTTTTTTTAAATCCTCACCCAAGGACATTTTTTCATTGCTTTTAGAGAGAGAGGACATGAGAGAGAGGAAAACATCAATGTGAGAGAGCAATGTTGATGGGTTATACCCAGACTGGGGACTGAATGCACCCGAACTGGGGATCGAACCCCCAACCTAGCTATGTGCCCTGATCAGGAATTGAACCTGCAACCTTTTGGTTACAGGATGATGCTCCAACCAAGTGAGCCACACTGGCCAGGGCAATAGGTTTCTTAAGACCCATAAGAGCACATAACAAAAAGTTACAAATTCGATTATATTAAAATTAAAAACTCATCAAAAGACATCTTAATGCAGAGGAAAAGATAAAGAGAAGAGAAATTTACAACTGATAAAGTATATAACTGCAAACCAATTTTTAAAAAATAACCCAACAGGAACAAGGATAAAGTCTCATAGGATGTGCCACAAGAAAGCCAAGGCCTTAAGTAAAAGTAGGGGCCTGTGGCTCCTCAGGCTCTGCGGTGGGAGTGGGCAGAGCACGCTGCAAGCAGCTGGGCATGCCTAGCCCAGCTAAGCGTATGGCAGTTTCCCGCCTGGGCACACAACTCAGAAAAACACACATGCACATGTGTGTCAGCACAGGAACAAGAATGTTCAGAGCAACCTGTTCCAAATAGCCCCAAACAAATTACCTGAATGTCTGTCAAAACAGAATAAATAATTGTGCTGAGGCAGATTCAACCCTTGAATATTACTCAGCTATGAAAACAAACTACAACCACCCTCCACAGGGACAGAGGTTTTTCTACACTTGAGTGAATAAAGCCAGACTTCACATAAACAGGCAAAACTGAGCTTGTTAAATATCAGTAACAGACCATAAAGCAAAGCAGTGATTATCGCAAGTCAGGACTGTGGTTACCTGAGAGGGACAGAATTCTAATGACAAGAAAATGGGGAGCATCTAAGGGCCATCAAGGTTCTTATTTATTTTTATTTTTAACTTTACATGGATACGGTTTAAAGTTAAATTGAATAGTTTAATTACATGAGTACTATATTTGTAAACATTCATCAAATTGTACATAAGCTTTATATACATTTCCTATGTGTTGTGAATAAAACCACAATTTTAAAGGAGTACCTGGCAGGCCAGATACAAGCACGCTGTTCCTGGGCATCGAGGGCCCAAGGCGCCGGCAGCCTTACCTGGGGTTGACCTCCAGCGTGGGCTGCAGGAGCTGAGCGCGCTCCTCCTGGCTCTTGGCCAGCTGCTGCATGCGCAGGAAGTGCCGGGCGGCCCCCATCTCCAGCACAGTGATCATGGCAGGGTGCGTGTCTAGTCGAAAAGTCACCTGCAAGCAGGGCCGGGGGACCAGGGGTGAGAGGGACCCTGGGATGCGTTACCCTAAAGCGAAGGACCCTAGGCTGGCCGTCTTAACCAGGTGTGAAGCTTCCCCAGATGACAAGGTAGAACATACGTCTCCAAGGACAAACCCTCAGACCTCCCTCAACGTCATCACTAATGAGAAGGGAGCCTGAACTGCTGCCCTGCATCAAGTTCCTAGAACAGCATCCGGTCTCCCTCTTCTATCCCCAAAAGCCACCCGTTTCTAATGTGTCAATTACTGTCTAAGGTCCATCTCGCCTGGTGTCATCCACACTCTCCTCCACAGGGGCCACTACCAAGTCCTCCAGCAATTGTCTAAGACTGCCGGGGCCTGGCTGTGCCACTTGCCAGTCCCAGCCCCTCCACAGGTCTGTCTGCAGTCCTGTCCCTCAGTCCCGTCCTTCCAGATGGCGAGAGCCTCCTTCCCGCAGACCTCATTTTCACCCACCCACCTTCTGTGGCTCCCTCTTGGCCTGACTTCATCAAATACATCTTTTCCCAGCAAGCGGTCACAATCCCCACTCCCTGGCCAGGCGTTCCCCTTTGCCCACCCCACAGGCTTCTGGCCTCCTGACTAACACTAGAGAGGCTACTGAGCATCATGGGCTGAGGGTGTGTCCTTCCTGGAAGCATGGCACTGAGACACACCTGAGCTCCAACTCAAACCGGGGGATGTACTCGGCCTCCTGTCCTTCATGGATGGGGCTATTCTACCTCCCTGCCAGTCCCGTGAGGCTTAAACGAGTCTCTACCATAAAGAGTGGACACAGTGAATGTGTTACACAGAGAAGTCCTGGCTGCATGCCTTGTTTTTGTTTTGTTTTGTTTTTCAATTTTACTTCTTTATATTTAGAAAGAGGGTGAGGGAGAAACATTGATGTATGAGAGAAGCATCTACTGCTGCCTCTCACCCATGCTCCAACCGGGCACCAGGCCTGCAATCCAGGTCCGTGCCCTGACCAGGAATCCAACCGGCAACCTTTTGCTTTGCAGGACGACGCTCCACCAACCGAGCCCAAATAGGCCACACCGCTCAGGGCTGCACGCCTCGGTTCTTGATGCTCCTTCCCACGAGCCCCTCCTCCTTCAGCATGTGCCCATCCTTCCCGCTCAGAGTCCTGCTGCAAACTCCTACGGAGCCACCCAAGCCCACCCTCCTCACCCTGCACTCTCGCCTGTCCCTTGGGGCAACTACTGGACCGTCCCTGAGCCAGCGACCCTGCAATCGATACCTGTTCTTCTGTGGCTGGCTTTTTCTTGTAGCTCTGAGCTGGACCTGTCAGTTCCTAGCTCTCTGAAGCCCCTCTCCAAAGAAGAACCCCAACAGGACCATAAGCTCCCCAAGGGCTGGGGTGGAACTCACTTGTGTCCTCTGCGACCACGGCTCCTCCGGGGCCTGGACCCAGATGGCTTTGGTGTAGCCAGCTGGGGACCCCTCTTCTCTTCCTCTACCTGCCTACGAGGCCACTGGCTGCTCACCTCTCACCTTCTCAGTCCCCGCCTACTCTATAAAGTGGAGAAAATGACCAGCCGAGCTTGCCTGTCCTGCCCTAGCAACACCCCTGGGCCTATGTGGCTACACACATCTAAGTTCACACACAGAAGCTGCAGTGACGTGCCTGGTCTCCTCCACACATCACTGCTTCATCTGCCACTGACAGAACTCCCACCAGGCCAGCAACTCAGGGCCAGCAGGCTAGCCAGCGGTGTGGTCCCTGGAGCCGTGGCAGCTGAGTGGTGGCCTATCTCCAGAAGGCCTCACCTTCACATTTGTGACACGCGACCCCAGAGCATTTCTCATCCAGGCCATCAGGTCCTCCATCTCCTTCTCTGACAGGCAGTCATCAGCTTGAGAAGAGAAGTGAGTGAGTCCATAGGCTGTTCTCCCCAATTCCCTCCTCATTCCCACTGGGGGCCTGAAATGTCGATGTCGCAACGCCAAGTGTCCAACGGCCCCACCCTCTACCCCTAGCTCTGGCCACTGGCACAAAGACAGAAGCCACCAGAGATGCTCACCATCTAAAATACAACAGATAAAACTGAACCTCAGAAGGACTTTTTGGTTGCCCTGAGGCCCATATAGTTTTGTTAGGGCTTTAAAAAGACACTTTCAGATTCTCTTAGGAAGCTAACTTGGAAGGGGCACTGGAGAGACCTGGGAATTTAAATGGAAATGTTTTCTTCTGTTCATCATTAAGGTGTTCCCACACAGCTGCTTTCATGTGGGTTAGTGACCCCGGATAGAAAAAAGAAAAGAAAATCCCTACAGACCCACTTGTAGGACAGAAGATGCACTACAGCAACTAGTGTCAGCCTCCAGGCTGTCCCAGCCTCACCTGCACTCCCAGGCCACCACCCACTCCTGCACCTAGAGAGAAGGGATAGAACCAACCTGGGGACCTGTCCTCAAACTTCTCCTCCTTGTAGTGATCGACGACGATGTCTGTTTCCACAGAGATAAGCTTCTTCTTGTCAAACTCACGAAGGTGGAGCAAAGTCAGCTCATCAAATTGCTCATAGCAGAATAGAACCTGTGAGGACACAAGAACATCTCCATGAGGCTTGGAGAAGACTCCACCCATGACACAGAGGGTCATGGGAGTGAGGGCTGCAGGCAGTGCCCCAAGTCCTGGAAGAGTCACACCAGACGCTGGGACCTCCTGGACCTTTGTACATGAGGTGGTTTACTAGAGGGTGGGAAGGGAAGCTCTAGCTATGTCTCAGTAGTAGAAATAGGGACTCTACTTAGAAATCTCTGTGTCACCTCCTATAGAGAGACACAAATTAAATGGCAGACTTTAGCCTGGGCCTCTGTGCCCATGGATGGTAAATCACACTGACTGGCTTTCCTTGATCCTGGGTACATTCAGCCATTTTCCACTAAGCAGAGAGACACCCCCCCCGACCCCCGACCTTGTCCTTTGACCGGGCCCCAGCAGCCTTTGGAGCCGAGCCTACCCTGTCGCTGACCTACCTCCATGTTTTTCTGCTTCATGGCCTCATAGTAGGGTGAGTGCTCAGCCAGGTGTCGGTTGGGGGTGCACAGGTAGTAGATGTTGCGTGTGCCCGCCTGCATGCGGCTGGCGTAGTCCACGAGACCGGTCAGCTGCCCGGCGGGCAGTGCCGAGGACTCATAGCGCAACAGCTTTGCGATATCCTCCTGGAAAGAGACAAAGGGCAGGTCACTGCTCATTCCAGGTCCTCGCTCGGAAAGCCTCCAGAGTAGCTGGGCACAGACTTAGGAAGCCTATGGCTAAAGGGAGGAGAGGCTCTGCTGGCCTCACCCACGGCTGGTGGGCCCACCCTATTCTGCAGCTGGGGCCTGGCCCAGGGATCAGCCCCTGGGGGTCACGGCAGACTCCAGCTGGATCTGGCAGGCCCCACATCTAAAGTTCAGAGAACTTCAGAGAGCACCTCTCACCCAGGTGGCCCAGGGCCTCACAGAGAGAGGCTTTCTGAGCAAGCTGTACACACCCGAGGAGTAGCCAGACCATCCCTGTGGCAGAGAACGCTCCTGGACCCCGCATCCTCCCTCTGTCCCTAGTCATATTAGGCACGTGGACGTGGGTGTAAAGTCCCTATTTCCTAGCCTTCACCTAACCGGGCGACTAGACCTGACCAATGGGGTGTAAGTAAAAGTGGGATGTGCAACCTAGAGAACGGGATCTTAAAGGAGAAGCCTGCCCGCCTTCCTGTCAGCTGAAATGTAGCGTGGGAGGGTTCCTTGATTCCTGGTGGGAGATGCGTGGTAAGGACAGAAGAGCAGCAACGAGGTGGGGCCGGGATTCCTGACGCCACCAGCCTGGGTATAACCTGAGACATAAACTCTGCCTTCTCTCCACCACTGAATCATGGACAAGCACAGCACAGACAAGCACTGGGGACACAGGGAAGAGCCAGGGAGGGTGTGCACAGGGCTAGAGCGAAATGAAAGAGTGACGTGATAGAGACGAGAGGTGGACCGAAAGCGGAAAAATAAAGGTCAAAACAAGGATGTGGAAACCCACATGGTGAGTCGTGCTCTAAACCAGATGCTAAACGTGTACTCATGTGCACGCTGTAGGTCCCCACTGACAAACGTGAGTTAACATTTATCAAGCCCTAGCTGGGGTGCTCAGATATGCCATCAGCATGTCCTGGGAAGCTCAGGTTTCTGGCGTCCACCAGCTTCCTCTACAGCCCAAGGCAGCACAGAGAAAGACCCAGAAACCTAGACCCTACCTTGACCTCCTGTTCGGCAGTGGTCACAATGCCCTCTCTCATGAACAAGCCATAATCTTCAAAAAACTTGGCGTATTTCTCAGCGTCTTTTTTACTCTGGTCAATGAAGAATTTTATTAGCCTCTGTTGTAGAACGTCCCGGAGTTTCCTACAGCACAGAAATGCATTTATCATGAATGAGCAACTTCTATGAAATACTAACAGCCAGAGGTTATGAAAAAAACAAAACAAAACAAAACATTCTGCTCCACTAATAATCATTCTGGACAAATTTTTTAAAATGTAAAAAAGAAGAGTGACCCTTGGCAAGCACCAGGTAGGAAGACACGCGCCCCCTTGAGGCAGGGATGTGGACCGACAGCCCTTTTGTGAAGGGCAACAAATAGCACAGACTTAATGGTTCCAACTTCTGAGAAAGTTGGGAAATATACCCTGGGAAATATAACCAAGACTTATGCAGCAGGAGTTTTACTGTCACATATAAAAGAGAAAACAATTATGAAGAACCTCAGTGTTCAACAGGAGAAACTAGGATGAAAGATAGAAAAGTGCACTGTCATTAAAAATCACATCCTCTAACAACACTTAATGACATGAAAAAGTACCTGTGTTAAAAGAATCATGGACAAGCACAGCACAGACAAGCACTGGGGACACAGGGAAGAGCCAGGGAGGGTGTGAAACCATTCTCTCCCTCCGTCTCTCCCTCCCTTCCCCTCTCTCTAAAAATAAATAAAAACTTTAAAAAAAAAAGGCAAAAGAAAAATCCCAATATAGGTAAGTTAGTATATGTATATACACACGTATGCAAAACTATACTATGTTCTGTATATTAGTTTTATATAATTAAGATCAATACTATATATACATTGACTATACACATACATTATAAGTTGGATTCTATAACGAGATGTACTGTATGCACACTACAATTTAACAAAATTAGGATTTTGTGGATCAGGGTGTTAACTACAGCATTATGTAATGGTGTAAAAACTATGAGCAACTTGGAATCCATACATCAAATCACGACAAAGTACACTTTAAATATCTTATAATTTTATATGTCAATTATACTTCCCATAAAATTGAAATTTAAAAATGTTAATAAACAGCCCCAGTTGGTGTAGCTCAGTGGACTGAGTGCTGGCCTGCAAAACAAAAGGTCGCCAGTTTGATTCCAGTCAGGGCACAGGCCTGGGTTATGGGCCAGGTCCCCAGCTGGGGGTGTGCGAGAGGCAACTGATCTCTCACACATCGATGTTTCTCTCCCTCTCTTTCTCCCTTCCTTCCCTCCTTAATAAATACATAAAATCTTTTTATAAATGTTAATAAACAATTATGTTCAATGTAAAGAGTAAAAATAAAGGACCACTATGTATTAGTGGAATTAGGGGTATTTTTGTTTCCTTAATATTTTGCCTTTCCTTAAAAAAAAACAAAACAACTCAAATTACCATATATTTCCTTAATAATCCAGGCTAGGGGAGCAATAATGTTTAACATCCACTGAAGCTTTTTCTCTCTCACTCATGTCCTGACTCGGTTCTTCAGCCACAGGGCGGCGTGAGACAGGGCAGCACTGGAGCCCGTGGCAGGGGAGTGACAGCAGCTAGGGCAGGGGGCAGAGCCCCACGAGGGCACCCCGCGGGGCGAGGGCAGGAGGGGCCCGGCACGGAGTGTCCGAGCCCGAGGGTCCCAGAGGACGCTGTCCAGGCTGGGCAGCGGGCCGCCCCTGGTGTGGGGTCGGAGACCAAGCAGGGGAAGAGCGCGCCCTGTCAGGGGACGACGGTGGTAACGGCGGGCTGATCGCCGCCGGGGCGGGGCTGGTCAGAGGGGGCACAGGAAGGATGAGCGGGAGGCTGCTCATCATCGAAGGGAGCTAACAGGAGAGGCAAGACTAGGGAGGACCAGGGGCGCCAGGTGAACTCAGAAGATACAGAAACAAGCACGGATGCAGATGTACACACACATAAACATACACACACACTCATATCCTCGGGTCTAAGCAAGAGGGCCTGGGAGAAGGGACAGCCCGACAGCAGGGGCACCCCAGTGCCCAGATCTAGGCCTCTCCATTCAAATGGACCCAGGCTCCTTGGAAGAATGAGTATGTGATTTCAGGGCTAGGAAATGATGCAGGCAAAACGTAAGGTGAGCTTCAAACATCTTGTGCCCGAAGTGAGGAAGTGCTCAAAGCATGATGGGACATGTCAAAGGGCCCAGAAGTCAGACTGAGTGGGCTCCCGCTGGATAAACTGGGGACTGTTTGGGCATCAAAAAGAATAATGACACAGACAGACAGTAAAACCCACTAAATAAAACAGGAAATCAGTTCATACAAATAAATTATGGATATTAAAAAACACAAATGAATACACTGAAAATTTGATGAAGGAATATGCTCTTCACATAACTAAAATACCACCCTGCAATACGATATAGTAACTACAAAGGCGAAAAAGAGGACCTTCACACGGAGAAGGCTGGCACACACCCCTCAGCAAGTCTCAACATCGAAATCACCAGTAATGGGACAAGTCAAAGTCCGGCCCCACCTGACAGGATGTAGTCATTTTGTGCTATTCCTGCATCCGACGCCCTAAACCGAGGGGCAGTCTACAAAATCACTGGCCTGAAATCTTCAGGAGCATCCAGGTCATCAAAGGCAGGGAAAAGGGAAAGACCGTGGAACTCAACCAGCCCGAGAGAGGCTCAAGAGAAAACCAGAGGCACGTGTGACTCTGGAATGGACCCTCTCGCTCCAAAGAACACGGTGACAGAAGCGGTGGGACACGAAGGGACCCGAGGGTCGGACGGCAGCGGTGCCACACCAGCCCCCTCCTGGCTGGAGGCTGTGCTGCAGGGAGGGGAGGACGTCCGCACTCATTGGACCCACACCCCAAGATCTCTGGGGAAGACGGGGCCTCAGGCGGACAGCTTACTTCCCAAGGGTACAGGGGGAAAATGTCCTTTGTATCGTGTTTCCACCTTTTCTCTAAGTTTATGATTCTCTCAAACATTTCATTTAAGGCTTTTTTCTTATCAAGATGAATCGCAGACAGACAATCTAGCCCTTGAAAACCACAAGCAGCAACAAAGTGACTGGACACACCCTGCCTGTCAGCCCAGCTCCCGTGTTGGGGACAGAGCATGTGCCTGTGGTCAGAAAACACGAGTTCAAATACAGGCTCACTCAGCGACTGCTGTGGCCTCTCTGGTACTTAGCTTCCGCAGCCATGACATGGGGACCTCGCAGTTCCCCCCTCAGAGGATCCTGGGGACTGTATTTATTGGTAAAATTCTGGGTGAGAATGAACACTCAGTAACAGTAGCTATTGCTACAGCCACGATGGGGATAGGAGAACCGCGGCCACAGGAATCCCAAGAGCAACATCTCCAAAAGAGATGGGTCTGGTCCAGGGCCCGGCCCTTGCCTCCTTCACAACATCACTGACCTTCCAGGACCAAGGTCAGGCATTCTCCTGGCTCTGTGGCTGTCATTTGCCTTGTCCACACCACAGACAGCTAGCCTGGGCTCTTTCTGGCTGCGGCCACCCTGGATTTGGGTGATGGAGGCTAGCTGAGACAGGGAACATATCCCAGAGCCATCATTTTTTTCAGTGCGTCAGTCCCCAAACCCTTTTTATTAAAACATGAAGCAAAACATCAGGCGAAACACATGCGACCTGCACGCATTCTCCAAACACACGGCCGCTCTGGCACAGCCTCACTGCAGCTGCTAGATCTTCTCTCGGCTCCTTCCAGCTACCCTTGCCCTCTCGGCGAGGGCCTCATCTCAGAAAGAGCCCGCTCCCAGCGGCTTACCTGATCAGAGCGCTCTCCTGGAGGAGCTCCCGGCTGAGGTTCAGAGGGATATCCTCACTGTCCACCACACCTTAGAGAGACACAGCACATCAGGACCCTTGTGGTGCCCGAGACTCTACCATGAAGGGCCTCCTGAAGGGCCACTGGCCTCCCACCAGGCTTCTATATTCTCTCTACAAGTCCACATAATGTCAGGCCATGTGAGGGTAAGACAAAGGAGGAAGGACAAAGGAAGGAGACTCAGTGAGGCAACACCACCAGGCCCTGCAAATACTGATGTCCAGGCGTCCATGCAGCCTAGGTGAGGACGATGTGATCAGGAGAAAAGCAGGCAAGGCTGCAAGCCTTTGCCAGAGAAGTTTCTAACATTTCAGCATCACTTTGACACTATGAAAACCAACTTCTGGCTCTGGTTGGTATGGCTCAGTGGATTGCGTGCCGGCCTGCAAACCAAAGGGTTGCCGGTTCGATTCCCAGTCGGGGCACCTGCCTGGGTTGCAAGCCGGATCCCCAATAGGGGGTGCACAGGAGGCAAACACACACTGATGTTTCCCTCTCGCTCTCCTTCCCTTCCCCTCTCTCTAAAGATAAAGAAAATCTTTAAAACAAACAAACAAACAAACCACCTTCTGGGTATTATATTCAAAGTCATAAATATGGCATAGATATTTTGCACTTTTTTGTGCTGATGAATAAAAAGGTTTATATGCTAAGATTTTTATTAAACTATAACCTCACTCAAAAGCAAGGTGATTTATAGCTAAATCTAAAACTCATGTATATCTTTTATAAACAGTAAAATAACTCAATTTAAACCTGTCTATCTGCCCTCTTTCCCCAAATCAACCAAGGCTGGTATCTGGAGGCGGCCAGCTTCCTGGGAGGCTCAGTGAGCACGCCCGGCTCGCAACTGAGGCTGCTTCCCTTGATCCCACACTCATTTAACGTGAGCTCCTTCCAACCAGTCAGCACCCTGGACCACAGGCAAGAAGCCACTCCTTCCCCAGGGAGTCAGCCCCGTACCTCGAATGAAGCGCAGCCACTTGGGCAGGACCTCGGTAGCCTTGGTCTGGATGAGGACCTTGCGGCTATACAAAGAGACACTGGAGCCCAGCTCCCGGCTTACATCAAACATGGATGGTTTCTGGGGGCGAGAACAGGGCAGGGTCGGCCACACACATGGGAACACAACCTACAGGGCTGTGGGGTAGCCCTGATGAGGACTCTGTGAACCACCCTTCCCAACACCGGCCCTGGACTGGGGGTTGTCGGGTGGACATGCAGTGAGCCAGAAGCAGCGATGGGCCAGGAAACCACCCATGCCTGTCTGTTCAAAACTCCCGTGCCCAGGGAGGACCCCCACAGAACAGCTCTGAAGGGGGCCTTCCCTAGGCAGCTGCTGCCTTACCCAATCCACTCCTCATGGAGGGTATCAGAGGAAGATTTGCATGTCCCTGTGAAGAGAACCAAACCTGCTAGGGGTCAGCAAACCACAGCCCATAGACCAAATCTGGATCATCACCTGGTTCGTGTAGCTTGGAATGGCTTTTTCATTTTTAAATGGTTGGGAAAAAAGCAAATGAAGAATATTTCATGGTATATGAAAAATATGTGCAATATAAATTCCAGTGACTTATTTTCCTGGACCATGACTCTGCTCATTCATGTAGGTGCAGTCCAGGGTGCTCTCACGCCGTGGCAGAGCTGTGGCTGTGTGGGACCTGCAGAGCCCAAACCAATCACTGTCGGGCCCTCCACAGAAATGCCTGCCAATCCCTGCTCTAACTCAGTGCTTCAAAACCTGCAGTTTGTACACACACCACATTGGGGTCATGTTCAAACAGAGGCTGATTCTGGAGGTCCTGAAATTCCTGCATTACTGACAAGTCTCAGGAGGACACTCAGTAACGAGAGTGGAGGACAGCTCTTTCCAAAGTGGGTAACAGGTGTGAGGCATTAAGAGGGTTCCAGTCAAATGAAGCCAGGAGGGGCTGGGTCCAACCCCTGAGGAGGTTTCTCTGGTGCAGGCTTCGTCCAAGACTTCATTGTGCTACTGTGAGCCAGGAAGTCTTAGAGGCACAGTGGAAGTACGGAGAACACACAATTTACCTGAGCACTGCAGAATCCAACCCACTGCAGAGCTCGGGAAAATGCTGCCTGGAGACAGAGGAAGCCGCAGGCTGCTCTAAGGGCCTTCCTTGCAGGCATCCTGAACCAGCACCCTGTTTACAAAAGCCCAGGCCCTTTCGGCCCAAGGTCTCTGTTCCACCCAAAAAAAACACCGTGTATATAACACTCCCTCACTTTACAACTCTGTGTTCTCTCATCCAGAGGCATACGTTTTTCTTTTACACTAATGCCGCCAAGTTAATTTTTGTGATATGTTTGTGCTGAACTGTCACCATTCAGGAAGTGCTACTGGTAATGGAAAGGCTGTCACCATGGGTGAGGCCTCCACTCAGGGGGCTGTGGACAAGCCACCTGCGGCCCCAGCACGCTGCGGGTGGCTAGTCAGGCCTGTGCTCACTGTTTCTGGCACATAGAAGATGCTGCGGATACTGAGAGGGGCGTCCGTCTTGTAGTGCAGAGTGTAGCGGGGCTTGTCATGGGCCTGAGCGATGTAGCAGTAGAATTCCTCGTGCTGCTCCTTGCCCACGTCCTTGGGGTCCATCATCCAGAGGGCCTGGAAATGGAGATTCACAGAGAATATTATGTTCAAGACACATCCTCACACAGCCACGTGGGGCTGAGCTGGGGGGGCTTGTGGCAGCTGGCTGCTAGTGAGTATTTCCTGAGGATGAGCCAAGGACCAGCCTCCTGGGACAGGCAGGGTGGTGGCCTCACATGCAAACCCCTCTCTCTGCCTCCAGCCTCATCCACTCTAGCACGGGGGTAACGGGTGTCCCAGAATGGGTGGGTGTGGGGCCCACAAAGAAAGACACACCAAAGGCTCTGAGAACAAGCACCCCCTCTCCAGGACAGTGTGTTCAGAAGGGTCGACCAGCAGGCAGGATCTGGACGTGCACACATATAATGAACACTTGCCATCAATGGATAAATGGATAAACACATGGTCTAGCCATACAATGAAATATTATTCAGTCCTAAAAAGGACATAATGAACCTTAAAAACATTATAAGAGGCCAAACACAAAAGGCCACATTGTGCCAGATTCCATTTATGTGAGATGTCCAGAACACGCCCTGGCTGGTGTGTGTCAACAGACTGAGTGCTGGCCTGTGAGTTGAAGGGTCGCTGGTTTGATTCCTGGTCAGGGCACATGACTGGGTTGCAGGCCAGGTCCCCCGTCGGGAGTGTGTGAGAGGCAACTGACCAATGTAGCTCTCACACATTGCTGTTTCTCTACCTCTCTTTCTCCCTTCCCTTCCTTCTCTCTAAAAGTAAATAAACAAAATCTTTGAAAAGAAAAAAAGGAAATGTCCAGAACAGGTTAATCCACAGAGACAGAAATTAGACTGTGGTTGCTAAAGACAGGGGTTAGGGGGTTGGGGAGTGACGGCTAATGGGTACAGGGGGTTTTTTCGGAGTGATGAAAATGTTCTAGAATTCACTGCGGTGATGGTTGCATGACTGAATACACTAAAGACCTATATACTGCAAGAGTGAAATGTGTGCGGTGTGTGCACCACAGCTCGTGCTCATGGGTAGCGTCTGGAGGCGGGGGGGTCTCATTTGCACCGCGGACCTCGCCTCTCCACAAAGAACACCTCATTCTGGGGTCTGACAGCATCGCCCAGTCCCACCTCTGCCCATCCAGCCCCAAAAGGTACGGGCCTCCACAGCTGCCTGAGCCCTTCAAGCAGCTGAAGGTCTCACCTGCAAGGTATTCATGCGCTTTCCGTTAAGGTACAGTGGGAAGCTGACGAAGTTACTGTATTTTGTCACCACATCTGCAGGAGACAAAAGAAGAACAGTAACTACAGGAGGCTTCTAGAAATAAAAGCTCAGAAAGTTGCTGCAGGGGTAACTCAGCAGGCCGGGGAGGACGCATCAGTGCCATAGCTGTGTCATAGGTGAGAAGCCAAGACACAGCAGGGAGGCGCCTATGAGACCATGCCCCTTCCTTCTGGTATCATAAATATGGTTTTATGAGCTCACAGTGAGCCCTGGAAAGCCCTCAGCACCTTCAATAAGCACTGAGTAAGACACGGACAGGGAAAACCACCACACAGAAGCACCCACTCTGGTTCTCAGTGAAGCGTGGGCTCAGGCCAGCTGGATGCGCAGGCCAGCAACGCCTGACAACCCAGGAAGGACGATGAAAGGACGGTGTGAGACCCTCAAGTAAATGAGGATGCAGCACTGCCCAAAGGGAAGAAGACAGAGCAGAACCTGACTTTGCCAGCAGTCAGGAGGCTCAGCCTTGCCCCATGGTCCTACACGGAGTCAGCCCAGATTCTGTCCTTGGAGGGCCCAGGCAGTCAACCCCAGGAAGCCTCCAAACTCTGCCCCTGGGTCTCCCGCACACTCCCACCCAGACAGAATCTCCTAAAACACGTCATCAGGACGTGCCTTGCTGACCTGGTGCCGCCACCCACATGTCCACGGAGGCCCAGGCTCCCACTCACCTCGAACCCGGGCCTCGCTAGCAAATTCTCTGCAGTCTGGTTTGAGGTGGACGATGATTTTGGTCCCAGTTCTAACTCCTGAGGCTTCAGCGATTTCAAATACTCCAGAGCTAAGACACATAGGAGAGGGAAAGCCAGTTTCATATATTACTACTGACAAACCCTATACAGCGAGTCCAGTGATTCTTCCTTGGTTTTCACAAGAAGAGACCAAACTGACACAAAGAAAGGAAGCCACAGTACCACCCTTTCTGAACCCAGCTGAGCCCTAGGCCACAAACTTTCTGTCTGGGACAATGGCCACTGCAATGTGGGATGTGGGGCTCTCCCGTTCCCTCAGGACACCGCTTCTCAGGAGCACAACCTCTTGAGCTTTATGTTCACCTGAGCGGGCCTGGGCGCTGTGCCAGACACTGTGAGGAAAACAGGCAGAGGCTTGGAAACTGCCTCTAACTCCCATGTTAACTTCTTGCATTTCTGAGCCTCTAGCAGAGGCCAGGTGTCTCCGTGACAGCAGAGAAACTGTTTCAGAAGTAAAAGAGGAGATTATAAACCCCTAACAAGTCGCTACCTCGTTGCTACCTTGGTCCAAGTTTAATCTTAGCACTGTTTACTTGGGATAAAACAGAAATCTTAATTCTGACTGAGAGAGATGAGCTGTGCTCTGGCCAGGCTTCCTCTCACATGTGCTACTAAAACCACAGCAGCAGACAGAAGACTCAGTCAGGAAAGGAGATTTCAGAAAGAAAGTTTGGGGCCTGCTGAAACAAATGTTTACATTTGGCTAAGGTACTATCCTCCTCAAATACAGTGTCGAGATCATTTTGTAACATGGCACCTAACTAAATCGTAAGAAATGCCTCCCGTGCACGCTAGAGAGCAAAGCAAGCATCTTTGTGGGGAAACGTCTGAGGCCTGAGCTGGTAGAAAAGCAGGGCCAGGCCAGTGGGTCAAACCTGGAAACTCCAGGTTCAGCAGGAGTGAAGAATGAGCTCCCACACAACAAAGTCCATGGAGGCCATACAGAGTAACGGGGCACCAGGGGTCAGCCAAACCGTGAATGAAGGAGCTGCATCTGGGATGGTCCGCCCTCCAGTACACAGTCATGGAGCCCAAACAGACACCACAGGCTGTAAGGATCAGGAAGTAGCTGGCTCCTCAAAGAGTGAGATTCAGGCTTCTGATAAAAGGCCCAGGAAGGCCTGCTGGCATTTTCTAAGGGTCTTTCTAAATGAAGTGGCAATGCTTCAGCTGCATCCCATTCTGCACATCAGGTGACACTTTGCTGCAGTGGTTCCAGAGCAGGGGGGACATTCCCTGTGTATGACTTGGGGGCCCTCCTGTCACTTACTCACCCATCTGAAAGCCACTGGTAACCAGGGCTGCCCGGGCTGGCTGAGCGGGAAAAGACTTCAACTCTGTCGGCCACCATGAAAGCCGAGTAGAAACCCACTCCAAACTGGCCAATGATCTTGCTGCTGGCCTCTGCCTGGTTCTGCAGCGCATCCAGAAAGGCCTGCAGTGGCAAAGACTGGTCAGAGGAGGGCATCCCCTTCCCCAGAAAGAACTGATATTTCTGACTCCCTGTGCACTCTAACAAGGGTTAAGATTGCATTTAATCCTCAAGACAAACCACATTAAATATTTTTCACCCCATTTTACACACAGACAACAACGACACAGGACAGTAAAGTGACTTGCCCGAAGACCCCAAGCTGGGAGGCAGAGGGACTGGTTTTATACTTGATTCACAGGGCCTATAACCCTGCCTGTTGGCCACTGGCCTGCGGGTGACACGCTCTGGGTGTGAGGAAGAGGCAGTGTGAGCGACTGTATGCATCCTCCCTGCAGGAAAGAGAGGAACTGCAGCTTCTTGGCTGGGCAGCCTCTGAGCTTCAGGAGATGAAGGGAGTGTGACACACATGCCTAGGTGCCTTCTGCGTGTCTTTAGACACGAAGCTTCATGGGGAAACGATACATACCAAGAACAAGCTTTGTACAGTACTGCAAGGCACTTAACTACTGTAACCCATGTAATCAAACTTCCTAAGATTAAAAATCAAATAAAATGAACACACTCATTGTTATGAGTACTGTCCAACAGGACATTCTGAAATGAAATAAATGTTTTCTATGGTTTAATATGGTAGCTGCTGACCTCATTTGGCTACTGAGCACTTGAACAGTGGCTAGTACAACCAAGGAACTGAATTTTAAATTGTATTTAACTTTAAATTCAATCGGCCACATGTTGCTAGTGGCTACTGTATGAGACAGCACAGACTTACCTAGATAGAAATACAACAATAAATGTAATGGGGGGAGTAAATTATGATGAAGTTTCTTCAAAGCAGAAATTTCTGTAAATCACTTTGGACCAGTAATTAGACAATTGTCAAGCACTTGGCACAAAGTTGCCATTGTAGGTACCAGTTAGGCCCCCAAAAACAAACAAAATGTGCCCTGACTGGTGTGGGTGGCTCCGTGTGTTGGGCATCACCCCTGAAACAGAAACGTTGCTGGTTCGATTCCCAGTCAGGGCACATGCCTGGGTTGTGCACCAGGTCGCCACTGGGGGCGTGTGAGAGGCAACTGATGGACGTTTCTCTCCCACATTGACACTTCTCTCTCCCTCCCTTTTCCTGTCTGTAAAAATAAATAAATAAAATCTTTAAACAAACAAACAAAAAGCACTAGTCACCAAGGAGTGGTACAAGGGCAGCTGAGGGCCACCGGCCTCTGTCTTGGGCTGGCAGAAAAGCCACTGGAGGAGGTCACCTTGTCTACTAACACTTGCCTCCCCTCACAGGCGTCAAGTTGCACCAGCAACCCACCATCCCCACTGGGCGCGCTATCTCCACAGGGGGATTATGAAGAACCACCCTGCCCACAGAGCCAGCAGGCCAACTTTATTCTTGTGAACTGTGTTGTCTGAGAAGAATATTTATTTCTGCCTACTCTCTTTGCCTCAAGCCTATGCAGCTCAAGTATCTCTGAGAAATGACTTGTAGAAAATGGCATACTCCAGACTCAGACCAACAGGCTTTGAACCTAGGGCTGGTCAATTACTATCTATCTGTGAAATACTTACTGCAGCCTTTTCAACTATAAAATAATAAATTTCCTCAGCTGTCCCCCCGACAATACAGTGAAATCATGTCACACAGCATTTCCACAGCACCAACACAGAGCACTCACACCAGAGAACATTCATACTGAAGCTGGCGTTCAGCGCACGCGGGGACCAGAGCTCTCTGGTGGCAGCTGCCCTTCAAAGAGAGGAAGAAGGGAGCACTGAGGGGGCCTTACCTTTGACCCCGACCTGGCGATTGTACCGAGGTTGGACACCAACTCTTCTTGTGTCATCCCGATGCCAGTGTCCTAAGGAGAGAAACACACTAACAACACAGCGCTGGCACCTGGAGAGGTAGGACGAGGTGTGTGGACAGCCCTGGGGCACAGGTGGCATCAACTGCACTTGCCAGCCAGGGCTCAGCCAAGTAATGCCACAGAGTCATCAGAAAAGGCAGATTCCAGTCACATCAGCCACACCTCACAAGAAAACCAAACTAGAGGCTAGACATGTAGCTCAAAGAGAAAAAAATCAACTAAAAAATTGAGCTGTACAGAGTTTCACTTGATTTTTGACAAAAGTTCCAAAGTAATTTGATGGAGAAATTAAAAATAAATGGTGCTGAAACACTGGATAGCCACATGCAAAAAATAAATCTCAACCCTGACCTTACACTGTACATAAAAATGGGATCATACACCCAAATGTAAGAGCTAAGACTGTAACACTTCTAAAAGAAAATACAGGAGAATTAACTTTGGAATAGACAAAGATTTCTTAGCCACTAAAACCATGTAGTATAAAAGAAAAAAAATGATAAACTGGACTTCATTAAAATTAAAAATAATACTTCCAAAGCCAACCCTAAGAAAATAAACAGGCAAGCCACACACTGGGAGAAGATACCTGCAAAGTGTATAACTGATACAGGATTTTTATTAAGAATATAAAAAGAACTCTTACAGTTCAATAAAGACAAACAACCTGATTAAAAATAAGCAAAAAATCTGAGTAGACATTTCACAGAAGATACACGAATGACAAACACATGAAAAAATGCTCAACAGCATCCATCATTAAGGAAATGCAAATTAAAAACCACAATGAGATACCCACTAGAATGGCTACGATTAAAAACACTGACAGTAACAACTGATGGTAAGGTTGTGAAGCACCTGGAATTCTCAAATGCTGCTATTAGAAATGCAGAATTGGACAGGCAATTTGGAAAAGTTTGGCAGTTAGGCATTCACCTTATAACCAAACAATCCCACTTCTGGGTATTTACCCGGGAGAAATGAAAACATATGTCTACACAAAAACTTAAACTCGAATGTTCACAGCAGTTTTATTCCTAACATCCTCAAACTACGCGCATCAACTGGTGAGTGGACAAACTGTGGCACTATATCCATACAGCAATAAAAAGGAACAGGCTGCTGCTATGTGCAACAACACAGATGAACCTCAGAAGCACTATGCTTGGCTAAAGAAGTCAGACTCAAAAGACTACCAACTTTGTAACTCCATTTCTGTGAAATCCTAGAAAATACAAAAGCATGGTGACAGAAAGCAGATCAGTGGTTGCTAGGGGCACGGAAGACGGAAGGGAATACTGGGGCGAGGACATCATGATGGCACGGCGGTTACACGAAAGTGTGCCCTGGTCCAAGAAACCAATGAACTGTGCATTTGAACTTGGTGAATTTTACTGTACATAAATCATATCTCAATAAAACTTATTAAAACAACAAAGAAAGGCATACACATACACAGACCAGAGAGAATAAGTGAACAAGAGAGCACAAGAGATGCCCTATAGCACAATCATGAGCAGGTCAACCAGTGTGCTTGGCAGAGGCAGGAAGTCCAAATGAAAAATGCCCGCCCCGAGCCCAACGGAGGCGCATCCTGCCACCCCCGCAGAGACACCCCCCACCCCCACAGTTCTTCCAATGACCCTGGGATGAGAGGTCCCAAAGCAACTATCTCTGGAACAAAATGTCCCCTTCAGGGCCTCGGCCTGATGAACTTCCTTTGCCGATGTAACTTTTTGACCTCAAAATGTTCAAAAGGTTGCATTAGCAACCAAAAGTATTGCTTCTTATAAAGCAGGACTATTAATCCAAATAACAGGCTAAGACTAAAAACAGTACTACAGAATATTTAATCATAGGGAAATCTGCATTACAAACAGACAAGTACAGTTAAAAATATGAGAAATACTCAATAAGAATATAAAAAAATGAAACCCACATCATTGTATTAACCACTGTAACCCAAATAAATTAAATGCAAATATTTTTAAACTATGAAGAATATCTTAAAAATAATGTGTAGTTTAAAAAACGTGTTTATAAAAGTATGTTTAGATATGTGAATAAATGCATAGATACCAGAAATCTAAATATACTAAAATGTTAACAGTAGTTATCTTTGAACAATGCAGTGATTTTAAACTTTCTTTTCTACTTATTTGTGTTTTCCTAATTTTCTATATTAAACCAAGAGTTATTGTAACTGCAAAGATGGCCAGCACAACACTTGAGGCCTAGAGATGTAACAAAAAGGCAGGTCCACTTCCTCTACCCCAGTGTGTGAAGAGGGCCACTGTCCAGTTACTTCTGTGACTAGAGCTGCCAGTGACTACTGCACAAGAGGCAGGGAGGCACGCCACTTGTAAGGACACAGGAGGAGGTACCTGGATTGTGATGGTGCCTTTCTCAGTGTCAGTCTGCAAGTGAATCTCCATCTCTGGCAGCGTTTGGCCTTCAGACACCAGCTTGTGACGCATTTTTTCCAAGGCATCACTAGCATTGGAGATCAGCTCCCGTATAAACACCTACAGGAATGAAGACAAAATGCTAGCACTGCAGGATCTATTTGGTTAGCAGCATTTGCTGCAACTGCTAAAAGGCAGGGGAGAAATACCACGGAATATTCAGTCTTTTAACCGTAAAGACTTTCCACTGTACTCAAAGGCAGTTTCTCCAGGGCAGGTCACAAAATGGCTAAAGGCAATCGATTCTCCCTGACACAGCTTTAGATACTAAACTCTACTGTTCCTTGCTGAAAATCAAGCCTGAAGTTAGGTGTCAATCTGTTAACTAAAAATTTAAAAAGAACCCTCTGAGGAACCACTTCTGTCCCATTTATTGCCCAGGGATGACAAAATATTTCCCAAACATCTTTCTCCTGCTCACTGAAGAAAGACTCTCTGGCTTCATTTAATGTAGGATCATAAAAAACCAGACCTACCACGTTCAGGATAAAAAAGGGCCACACATTATCTGAAAAGCACCTTTACCGCTAACAGACCTTCCACATACAGTGAGACCAGCACACAGGTTGAGCGGGGAGGAAGTGGTCTGATCTGACCATCCCCAAAAAACAGCAGCTGGATGCCACAGAGAAAAGTGAATATAATATTTAATAGCATAAGACCTGGATATATTCCCTGAAAAGTCCCTTTAAACTTTGGAATCTGGTACTTTACAGTTCCTCTAAATTCTGCTTTGCAACCTAGCAATAATGAGCACAGAAACGGAGGCTCATTTGTTCTCTAATTTTTTCATGGTCTGTCATCCCTAGATGAGTTTCAATCTCCTCAAAACAGTCCTTGGTAAGCCCTTCCTGCTCTGCTCTACAGAGGTCCAGGGGATCTTCTCCTTCCAGCCCGGAGCCCCCACTCATCTGAGGGTGGTACACCAGTGCACAAGAGAAGGGCTCCCTCGTTAATATATGGGGGGATTTTAAATTATCAGCAAAATACATTAATCTCCAGAATCAACCTGGCCCAAAGAATCATCTGGATATATGTACCCAAACAGATTTTGGTAAAAATACTCTTGCTGGTAGCTAAGATCAGGACCTGTCCAAATTTAATGCATTTTCACAGTTAATATACTACCTGGCATTTCCCTAGAACAGTATAAGAACAGTTTTCCAAAGAAACCTTCCTAATGATGGGAGTGATCAAAAGGCACCGCACCTCTTTTTCTGAGTACAAGGAACGGGCAACAATGTCCAGAAGCTTCTTTGTCTCAGCCTGGAATTCATGTTTGGAAACAGAACCTGGTAATGAATCACAGATACAACCAATAAAGTTTAATTTCTTCTTCCATGGGAGAATATGCTATGTAACATTCAAAAGAATGTTTAAGGCAACAAGTTTTAAACATTCTGCAAAAGACTAAACAAGAAAGAAAGAAACCAATTCTCTGGGGCTTTAAGGCAGGAGGTCCCAGGAGCAGAATGAACCCAGCGGTTCCTCTCGTTCTCCACAGAAAGGAGCAAAGTTCTCACCCGCCTCCCACCACTGAGCCCTGCACACCTGGGGTCTGGGCTACCTCAAGGGTCTTTAAAGGCAAGCACTACCCAAAATGTCCAGTCATGAGAACTGGGCTGGGTCCAACAACCAGACACTGGATTTTATTCTTCAAAACAGTGGTTTCCACATTAATTACTTAGAAAGCAAAATAACAAGACAACCTCACTCTCTTCTTCACCTAAACATTGAAGATTCTATTGTCTCATTTGAAAGCCAGATATGGACCCACTTTAGGACTGGCTCTAGAGACTGCTTCTCTATACTTCTTAGGGAAGAAAGAACAACTTTAGCATGTGGTCCTGCATCGACAGGGCTAATACTGAGTTTCCTTCCTGCTTCCATGATTATTAGCAGATGTGCCATGAATCACTACTCAGAAGTTGCCCCGTGAACCCACAGGTGACCACCAGGGGGCGCAAGACACACCTGAATGAAAGTCAAAGTTCCTAGGGACGCACACATTCCTTGTTTTTGGACACCCTCCCTCTCTCTGGCCAAGACCTTCCTGCATCTGAAGCAAGTGGGTGGCTCCCTCAATCATTATTACCTCTACCTCAAAAACCTCCCCTCGCAAGCCAGCCAGGAGCTAAGCGTTCCCATACCCCAACCCAGCTGAACCCACTACCCTGCACAGTCTCTGTGCTGCTGATGATGGAATGGAGGGGCTCCTCCTTCGGGTCCTCAGCAGCTTGAGAGCTGAATGGACGTCCAGTGTGGAAGCTCAAAGCCAGATTTCGCCTGGGGCAACTGGACTGGACTGGGGTCCTCCAAGGGCACAGAACTGATTTTCCTAAAAAGACAAACATGCACAAAGAAGGAGAGTTAATAAACCTTCAGGAACAGATACCCTAATGTGTTCAAAAACATTATTTGCTAGCAGATCCTCACACATGCCTAATACCAATAAAGTATCAGAACTTGGGCAGAGTTCCAGAGACAGGCAGTGGCCGTTCGGCACCGCTACCCACTTAAGTCCCACAGTGAGATCTCGTACAAACCCCCGAACTCAAATATCCCTCATGCCTCAGTGCTCACAGCCCTCACAGAAGCCTGCTTAAGGGACAGGCCTTTGTAACTGCAATGAAAAACTGGAGAAAACGCATCCCTCTAAAAGGAATCCAAACTTGTAAGTGTTAATATTCTGAAACAGTCTTGTCTTCTAAAGAATCTTAGTTGACTCCTTTCTTATTTTTTTTTTTTTGTCCGAAACTGTCAGAGTTTTTTAAGATTAGTTTATTTAAAAACTGAAAAGCAGTGTGAGTGATCTCTTTTACCTATAACCAGGAAGGGACCTTACACTGTCTCTCATATTTGTTTTCTATAACGTGCTCGGCACAGTGGACCAAGAACCACTGCAAGGGAACACGGAAAACCCGTCATTTGACACTGCTATCCCCACTGGCTGACAGATGCATCTTCTGCCTTCAGATGCTGCAAACACATGCAAACACCTTCCCTGGACGTGGCAGGAATCAAGCCTTACTAGCAGCCCCTCAAGACAGTGGCATGCACCGGCTCCAGGACCACCAGCCTGGGGACCGGCATCCGTCAAGTATGTGCTTTATGACCAATGCTTCCAAAGATACAGGTCAGACATGCAAGACCCTCTGTGTGAAAGTCTAGATTTTACTGAACTGTGCCTGACTGGCATGCACTATACATGTGGAATGGACAGAAAGGAGTGATTCAGAATGTCCAGAAATAATCTGACAGTTTTAAAAATCAACGCATCAACTTCACATGTCTACAAGGTATAAAAACTTGACTTTTCTCTAAGCTTATTCCTGGATTTATAAATAACATGGCTTTAGCATTTACTTCTATGCAGAATACTTTAAAAACATCTTTTATAACTCAAAAAAATATTCAATTTCTAAACAGTCTAAATATTTAATTATCTGTACCTTATTGCAGTGTTCACTTTATCCATACAGCTAAAAAAAATTCTGGGCTATTTCTTTCTCATGGAATTAAATATTTGGTTAGAGAGTTGAATGAACCAGGGGTTGCCCTGGTCTGCACCACGCCAGCGGTACTGAAGTCCCTGAGCGCCCCGCCAGCCCCTAGCCCCTGGCCCCAGGCAGAGAGACCACGGGTGAGCTCTTTCCACCAGGGACAGCACTCATGGACATACCTGGATACGTGAGCAGGTTCCCCACCAAAGGTGGGGGCCCTCTGCTTTAAAGCACTGTTGAACTTCAGGGACGAAACCAGTGAGAGTGGGGTAATGAAGAGATGTTTGAGGGAAGTCTGATCTCAGGACAGGATCTGGATTTGAATGGTACAAGGAACACTGACTCCAAACGGACGGACAGGAGTGGAACTGTCAGAGGCACTAAAATGAGGATGAAGGAGGCCGTCCAGGAGGGAGCAGGAAGCTCAGCAATCACCGACCGGTGGCGTCCTTCACCACGTTGCCATGTGAGCAGCCTCCACAAACACTGAAAACATTTTAGATACTCTTTCATCTAATATTCCTCTTAACACATTCCACCTGGCAATTACTCCCTTCTACCTGGCGCCAGGGAAGGACAGATGCAGTCTTTCAGAGTCTTCGTCCAGTGGTGACATGCAGGTAGCACTTACCATGGTCCCTGCCCCGCCTCCAGCTACAAGGGCCTCCCCTGTGCAGTCCCTTGTCCCTGTATACCTTTGAGCTGGTCTCCTGCAACGTTTTCTACAATCCATTCCTTCAATTTCTACACATTCATCTTCTAACACCAATTCCAACTTACTTCCCCAACTTTGGAGGATTTATTCCTGAATGCAATCTCATCAACTCTAAATGCTTCAGATTGGTATTCCAGGCCCTCCACCAAACCAACGAAATCCTACCTCCTTCTAGAAGCCCCAGCCCAGCAGATTTGATGACATCTTTCATGCCCTTATGCCTTATTTGTAGGGTCACCGACGCTGGGGTGTCTCCGTCCTTCTCTCCCAACACCATCAAGCTTGGTCTTGGCATATAGGGAGAGGAGCACCTCATAAGTTCCTATTCACACACCCCCTCCTCGAAACATCAGAAAACACACCACACCCTCAAGAAGAGGTGCTGGTTTTCCTCACTGGTTTTTATTTGGAGTAAAATATTCTGAATCCATTCCACTTGCATAAAAGCAGAAATTACTGAACTGATCATTTATCCTCACTTCCTGTCCCACCTTGCTCTGCTAAAAGTCCTTTTCTTGACATGTCTTTTGTCCTCAGAAAAGAATAGTTGCATTCCCCCATTGCATCTCAGCTAAAACCATCCCTATCCCAAAGGAAACCAGAAATCATAGAAAATCAAAAAGTTCCAAGACTAATGGCTCTTAGTATTTTGAGATCCACATAAACTACCTCTTCTAAACTTGCTTCTAGATTGATGTGGTGGCAGGAAAAGGGGACTAGCTGTTTATAACTAGCATACTTTTTTAAAATTTCCAATCTTGTATGTATAAAAACGTTAATCAAGAACACATCTTAGGCCCTGGCCTTATGGCTCAGTTGTTTGGAATGTTGGTCCATGCATTGAAAAGCTGCCAGTTTGATTTCCGATCATAGCACACACCTAGATTGAGGGCTCAATCCCTGGTTGGGGTGCATACAAAAGGCAGCCAATTGATGTTTCTCTTTCTAAAATAAATGGAAACATGTCCTTGGGTGAGGATTTAAAAAAGAACACATCTTAGAGATAATTCCAAATCACTACAGAAAGCTGTTTATTTTTTTTAACAAGCACAAAATATTCTACTATAATAGGTAGGTGTTCAACTAATGAGTGTTTAAACTTCTTCCAGTCTTGTGTTATTGAAAATAATACTCCAAAATGCTAAAGAGTTATATACTACTTGCTACTCTTCATGGAAGAAAGACAGGAATACAGGAAAATATCTGTTTCCATTCATCTGGGAAAGAAAAAAACAAAAAAAAAAACAACAAAAAACAGGAAAGATAAACCACAAACTAGTAAGAGCACGTATTCGTTTCCTTAGGGCTGCTGTAACCAAGTCCAACAAACTGGGTGTACAAAAACAACAGAAACTTCTTCTCTCAAGTGTGGGGTCCGGAAAGCCAAAATGAAGGTGTTGGCAGGGTTAATTCCCTCTGGAGGCTCTGAGGGAGTCTGTCCACACCTCTCCCCCAAGTTGCTGGCATTGGCCGCAATCCTTGGTACTCCTTGGCTGGTAGGTGCCTCTCTCCCATCTCTGCCTCTGTCACCATATAGCTTTCTCTTCCCTGAGTGCATACCCTGTGTCCAAATTTACCTCTTTTTTTAAAAAGAATTTTTATTTCTTGATTTTAGAGTTAGAGGAAGGGAAGGAGGGAGGGTAAGAAGAGAAAGGAGGAAGGGAAGGAAAAAGAGAGAAGCACCAATTTGTTGCCCCACTTGTTGGTGCATTCATCGGTTGCTTCTTGCATGCTGCCCTGACCAGAGACCAAATCCGCACCCTTGGCACATCGGGACGACACTTTAACCAATTTAGCTATCTGGTCAGGGCCCAAATTTACCTCTTCTTATAAGGACAACAGTTACACTGGATTTGGGGCGCACTCTAATACAACATAATGTTATCTTAACTGACTACATTTCCAAACAAGGTTCAGAGAGTCAGGACTTGGACATACCTTTCTGGGGCACACAAGTCAAACCAGAAGAAACTGACTGCCTACAGGGGTGTGTGTGTGTTAGTTTCCTAGGGATGCTATGGAAAAGGACCACAGACTGGGCAGCTTAAACAACAAAAACGTATCATCTCACAGTATTGGAGGCTATTAGTCCAAAATCAAAGTGTCAGCAGAACTGATTCCTTCTGAAGCTGTGAAGGAGAATCTGTTCTAGGCTGCTCTTCTGGCTCCTATAGCCTCAGGTGCTCCTTGGCTTCTGGACGGTCATCTTCTCCCTGTGTCTTCACATCATTTTCCCTCTGTCTGTCCAAATTCCCTTCCCTCTTTTTTAAGGTTTATTTTATTCTCATTCAAGAGAGAGAGGAAGGGAGAGAGGGAAACATGGACACCAGAAAGAGACACTGATCGGCCGCCCCCTGCACACTCCCCAACCAGGGATCAAGCCTGCAACCTGGGCATGTGTCCTGACCAGGACTCGAACCAGCAACCTTTCGGTTATGGGACAATATTCTAACCAACTGAGCCACACTGGACAAGGCCAAATTTCCCCTTTTTATAAGGACATAGACACACTGGATTAAGGTCCACCTTAATGACCTCATCTTAACTTGATCACATGCAAGGACCCTATTTCCAAATAAGGTCACATTCATAGGTGTTGGGTGGGGGCGGGGGCAGCTACACAATAAAATGGAAAGAATAAGGGGTTGGGAACAGGGTATCAGAGCTCAAAGGAATGTGACACTTCAGAGGATACCTTTTTGAGGATGACTCTTAGAACTGTGGTAGTATTTCACATGCCCAGAAAGTAAATAATTAAGAGCAACCAAGGTTGTGGGGAAGAACAAATGAAACACAAACAGTAACAAATGTTCAAAGCTTTATCAAAAGCAATCTAATCACGCTGGAAAAAGAAAATAATTAACCTAAGGAACTTCAGAACATGGTACTCTGACTATATATTGTAAAGTTAACCCCCAAAGGGACTGCATACATTTATTGCAGCAAAAATTGTTAGCAATCCTGAAGCTGCTATAGCATGTACTAGGGTCAGGCAAGTAAGTACATGGTGGTCCTTGGGTCAGGAAAAAAGTGTTACATGTAAGGAGAGGGGAGGAACCTTGTGGCGCTACACTGAAACTGGAAGGCATCAGTATGAACTAGTGATTTTTTCCAGATACA